GCATCAAATGAGATTTCTGAAGTTCCATTCTCACTTCAGGATCGTGTGGAATATGCACCTTTTCCCAACTTTGGGTTAAAATAGCTATAAGACTGTAATCTTCGAGGCCTTGTTCCATGTGCTGGTTCTTTCTGATCCTCAGGAGACAGTAGATGATACCTCATCCCACTTATCACCATCTTAAGGCACTCAGGGTTGTCTTGTATGAGTGGTTCAGATGTTACGGTTTTACTTAAGAAATACTTTGAGAGAAGAGGAAATCTGACTTGTGTGAGGACATCAACAATAAAAGGCTTGCGATTTTGCGCATCATGTCTCAGCCACCTGAGGGCAGCATCATAAACCTGCTCCTCCGCTCTCACCGTTCAGGGCGTCCTGGTGGAGGAGCTGAGTTACTCGCTGAGCATCAAGTTGGAGAAACTCCTCAGTTTTGTAAACGTCAGTGAAATGCTGGTGAATAAAGGCATCTGCAGCGGCTTTCAATTCAGGACAGTCTAGACGCTCTGCTAGAATGCTTAGACCTAGACAATTTGAAGGATCCACTTGCTCTTTCAAAAAATCAACACACATGAGCTTCACAGGTTGAAGCTGGTACTGGTTTGCGGCGTCCAACAAAGACTGCACGTTGTTGCTATTCACAGAAACCCTAGCAGTGTAAGTAAATTCCACCAGCTGTTCAATAATGTCAGGGTCGGCGTCTTTGAGTTCTACTTCAAAGGGCGTTGATTCCAGCATGTCAGTTGTGAACATGACATTAAAAACTGGGCTGGCTGCAGCAAGGACCACACCATGAGCAGCGATCTCTCTTTCCTGGACCACGAGAATCACATCACACAAAGTTTTCCGTCTTCGCATGTCATTCATGATGGCCATGGAGCCCGCCAACAAGTCCGCTTCTTCCAGAACGGCAGGTTTCTTCTGGGTCTTTCTCTTGCTGCTCCTCGCCATCCGAGAGGGTGACATTCTCCCTGAGCTCCAGTGCGGGCTCCGGGCTGAGGGCTGCGGGCTGAGGGCTGCGGGCTGCAGGCGCACTTCTGTCGGCCAAACGCTAAGGCCCTGCTGACTGAGGCGGCGGCTCAGTAGCTGCAGAAACACCAGGCCTGGCCCCGAGGCCCCAGCAGCAGCTCCCGGGCCATGGTGTGCCCTTGGCTGCGTCCCGGGCAGAGCCGGAGCAAGGCGGCTGACGAGCCTGGGTATCCCAAAACAAGACATTTTTAGTTAAGGAAGAAAAAAGGCTTACAAAGGCAAGAAAGAAAAAATGCTCTATTCATAAATAAATGATGATCTTATGCATAAATGATTCTAAATACATCATAAATACTATAGCTGATAAACAGAAAAATGTTGTAGGCTACATTTCAGCACACATTAACTTGGTACTTAAATCCCTACACATTCACTGCTAATCAACATCTCCCAAACCATTAACCCTTATACATTAACATGCTGAGTATCCTCACACCACACTGATAACTAGCTGAGAAGCCACTCATCATCCAGAACTTCTACTAACACCCTGAGCATCGCCTGATGCCCACAACAAAGTGAACAAATCCAATGACCATACACACAAAATCTAACCTAATACATTTATTCCAATTCTTTGAATCAGAGTCACAACCTGGACTATAGTCTATAAATTTCGTCCTAACTTTATGACCCTAAATCTCAAATTCAGAAACTATCCCCGAAAACTCTAATCCTTAAACAGTAACTCTACATCATTATACCTTAACATATACGCTCCTACTCAACTCAAAACATAATCTGTTAGGCAGAAACGTTCTAAACATAATTACCTTTAATCTGTCCACCAACACCTGAATCTCACATCATCACAATTAACTCCTAATTCTATCCCTTGATTCTTGTTTTTGAACCAGGAACATTGATTAATGTCAGGACCTAGATTCCGATCTTAAGTAGAGACTCTGCCTCTAGCACACTAAAACCCTAAGCTAAGCACCAAACCTAACACACCGAAAAAAACCCTCATGCTGCTAATTATGTGTATGGATCTGTCTCCTCTCCCAGATTTTACCTAAATGTAAGGGACTGCGATAGGTAGACATGCAAAACTGGGAAACACAAACACATCTTCTGTTTTCAGTTAACTTTTACAAATGGTTCATGGAATTTGGCAAAATGAAGTGATATATAAATGTTTAAATATGACAAAAAGCATTATGACCAAGGTCTATCGCAGGATGCTTGTGGTGGTCCTCAACTCTACTGTGTCCTACAGTCAAGGAGCCTTCTCTGTTATTAGACATATGCAGGGATGTGTTACCCAATAACCAGGGTGGCCAACAACTCAATTGTACTTACTCACTAATTTGTAGATCACAATTTCACCTGGTTTCTCCCTCAAAGATGTAGTGAAACCAGGTTTAATGAAACAAATAAATTACTGATTATTCTACCTTTGATCCCCTCCATTCCTTCTTTCCCAGGGACGTTCATGTCACTAGGGATGGAGGTGGTATCAAATTAAAAGTACTTTTATTGGAACCATGACCTCCAATTTTCACAACATCGAACTTTTTCCTCAGATTTAAGGGCTCAGAGGAAGATTTAGTACACCCTTCTAACCCTAAAATATTTGAGTCTGTGACTACTCGAGTTTCCAATAAACCAACAACTTAACCTCACAAGACATACTTCAAGTAGGAGCTTTAGCTTCATCCCTTAAGTGTAAAGATGTTCATCCCAGGGACACCCTAAGGGTCCAGTGTCAGGAACTCCCTCTCAGAGCACACAACAGCTTGACACATGATGTCCCTTCGCTGGAGAGTACATCAACAGAGGACAATTCTGGGGACACATGGCAGGGAGTGAGCCTGGTTTGACCCCACCACCCTCCACGGTGGGGTGAACCAATAAGGGAACAGAACAGGTCAGCAACGTGAGCAAAGCAAAGCCATAAAGTCCCTAAGGAGCCCCAAAAAATAGACTTCAGGCTAGGAGGGGCAATTCCTGGAACCTCAGGACTGGTGGGGAGATAGACATAAAGGTCAATGGACAGACCTGGGATTATGTATGCTGTTTTGTTTGGGGGGATTTTTTATTTTTTTTGGCTAGTTTTTTCCCTCTCTTTTTATTCAATGTTTTGTTTTCTTTTTGTTTTGTCTCATTTTTTTGTTGTTTTGCCTACCCATATAAGCATGAGAAGCAACTGGACCAATGTTTCCAGAGGGCCTTTGGGGAGGAGGGGGTGGGGGAAGGGAGCAGTGATCAAACAATTCCATAGATAGGGGAACAACTAGGGAATTAAATCAACAACGAGGAGGACTTAGGGATCCTGGGGGTGTTGGAGCAATAGCAATTAAGCTGAGAGTTATTACTAAGAGGCAGAAAAGAGGTGAGTGTGATGGTAGGACAGGAGGAATGTAAAAGGAAAGAGAAAAGATCTAGGAAGCAAAGCTTTGGATAGAGGTATAAACATAGAGGTGTACATATATAAATATATTAATTCATAAAATAGAGGTATTGGCCTATGTACATATATTTATATGGCCATACATGGAGGAAGTGGATGGACTTTGGGCCTCTGCTCCAGCACTCCCTCAACACAAGAACACTTTGTTCTAACAAGATGGCATTTTACTGTATTGTTATTTAAGTTCAAGTTAATTGGGTACAAATGTAACAATGGTTGTGAGAGAACACTTAATAAAACATTCTATGTGACCAGTAATATTCTGATAACCGTGTCAGATAATGATACTTCGAGAAAACTGTACATCAATATTGATAATGGAGCTACATGAAAATGTTCTTTAAAATATAGGGAATAAAGTTCCCAATTAACTTATAACAATACAGTAAAATGGTATTTGTTCATAGCTGCCAGAATCTGCACCTTTAAAAGTCTTACAATTAGGCTGGAAGTGTCTCATGGAATTTATTTATTTTATTTAATACTTTTATGGCGGGCTCTTACATCTCGTATCAATTGTTTCAAGCAGATTTGTACAGGAATGAACAAGACTAACAATAGCATTGACCACACATCTTAATGCTCCTAAGAAGTGAGGATGGTGACATGTTGTCTCATGTACTTTGAATATAGCATCAGGAGAGATCCATCCTGGGAAAATGATACCATGCTTGGTAGAGTAAAAGGGCAATTGAAAAGAGGAAGACCCTTGTGAGGGATTGGATCATTGGCTGCAGCAATGGGCTCAAACATAAAAACCACCCTGAGATGGAGCAGGACTTGGCAGTGTTTCATCCTATTGTACCTAGATCCTCTATGAGCTGGAACCTACTTGAGGGCAACTAACAACAACAACAACAACAACAACACACTATCACTTACCCCACATTGTCTAAGACTTTTCCTGTTTCCATTCTTCCCCATCAGCTAAATTCTGTCCTTGATCTTACTTACATGACTGGTTAGCCTCGCAGGTGGTGAGTTAAGTTCTGGACATGAAAGTGACTAAAGGCCATTGTCTTGAGGGTCTCTTTTGTGATTTTGAGTTTGGGTCCACATTTTCCTCCCACTCTATCCCAGACCTTCTAATAGGATTCCTGTTGGAGCACTTGGTAGTGGTGGCTGGGCATATCTCATTCTGCTGATCAATCACTAACTTTAGGTTAGCAACCCAATGGAAAGTAGCTGGTATAAGTTTTGGACTCTATTTGCATGCTATTGTGGGTGGATCTACAATAAATGAACAAACCCCTGTTTGTGTAGTGGGTATAAGTTGGGCTGCTAACTGTAAGACTAGCAGTTTGGGACCACCTATAATGCCACTGGAGAACGATGGAGCATTCTACTCCAGCAAAGATTTACATTCTTGGAAACTTTCCAGGGAAGTTCAACCCTGTCCTAAAGTGTCACGCTGAGTCTGCATTGACTTGATGGCAATGAGGATTTTTTGGTGGGGAAGGGGCAATTAATGATTTATGCATGGAAACAGAAAACCTCACATGAAAGCAGGTGTATTAGCTACATAATTTCATTTTGACTTGGTAAATAAGTCAAGGGGTAGAGGTTAACCTGTCAATCAGGTACAACCTGATGATGCCTCCTGGTGGGCATGACCTTCTCATGAGGATTCTGGGAACTTCCACTCTTTCTTCCTGGAGCTGAGCTACCCTCTCTCTCTGCTTCACCTTCCTGCTGTTGAGTCACTCAGAGAACTGGAAGAGCCACATGGAGACCCATGACAGCATTAAGATGCTTCTACTGCCATTGGATACACTAGACTATTTATCCACTGGCCTATGGTCTTCCCGCATTCAGCATCATTGCATGTGCTCTGTGTTTCTGAAGAGGAAATGATGGACTAGTATCGAACTTATGGGCTAATATTGGACTTTTAGACTTGATCTGGACTGGGCTGTAATGTTTTCTTGTTATCTATTAGTCTTTGATATAAATCTCTTTCTTACACATATTTGAATGTCCCTGAATTTGTTTATCTAGTCTACCCAGTCTAACACAGCAGGTATTTCCAGAGAAATTGCCCTTTAGTTACAAAATCTAGGCTAAGTTTCCCAAGATTTAATGATAAGATGGCTCCATCAGAACTGGGAACATAAATCACTTTAATTCAGTAAATATTTGCTGACAAGTGACTTTTGTCGATTCCTGATAAAGTCAGGTGACAGTTTTCTGTACAGTCTGAGGAACTATCTGACCATATTGGGAAACGTAACAGAGTGTTACAATTCTCCTATCTCCATTTTCAGCCAGCAACTTTGGAATCTGACTTGAACTTTCATAAAGCAATTCCCAAGTATAACAGGCATAAAAGAAGCACAATCCTTATGGATGCAAGTTAATCAGGAAATACTTCACTTGATTTTTCCCATAAACACTTGTTTTAAGAGTCCCGGAAGCCAAGAGTTATTTGCAGGAAGCAAATTTAAATTTCAGATTTCTTATCTTGGAAAAGTCTCCCCAAACACCATCCATATACTTGATCCCTTGGACCAATAGAACCTCGTGT